GCCAACTTCGTGCGTTGTAAGATGGGGGGCAAATTTATTCTAAACGCAAGAACAACGACAAGGTACTGTTTTTTGTCTCGGTAACAGAAATCCTTTCTGAGGGCGCACACACACGCGCGCGCGCGCGCCGCTGGATTTCTGCCCAAGATAACGGCGGAAAAGGGCCGACAGAGAGTGGACCTACTAGTTGTACTATGAATTAATTACCAGTGGTCGTTAATTATCTTGTAATCAGAAATATATGACTGTTGTAAAGGTACATTAATACCTCGAAATAACCCATCGCTCATGTTCCGCCGCGCGATTCGCCGTATTTTGCATAGAACGTTATGTCAGAGCAACGAGAACTCGGGATTACACTATGCTTTAGTGAGTAATCTATGACCACTCGGCCAGGAGAAACGAAACGAGAGCAGGTTAAACTCTCGAGGGATAGCTCTAAGCCGGGAATGTCACGGTGAAAAATTGTTACATCAACGGACGAATGGGCCCTGAGAGAGAAGGAGAGAGAGAGAGAGATAGAGAAAGGGTGGAGGGGGATGGGGGAGGGAGAAGTAAACGCAAAGTCGAAAGTTATAAAGAAACGCACTCGTATACATCCGCTGAGTTTCATTCTTCATGAACCCGCGTCTGATCTTACACGAGAGTTGGTTCTCTCACGAGGGGGTTGCATGTCGCGCGCGTTCACGACAAACGTTTATTTAATATTTTAACAGATTTATTTAAACCCTATGACGCGAGATCCGCAGATTTCCATGAATATAGAAGCTCGCTTCCGCTTCATCCACCGGGAGCCATAAAATGTTTATCACCCCGGCCGATACTGGTTAACGATTCAACGCTCTATCCCGGACACGAAAAATCCAATCGGTGATCCTTTGTCCGTCTCGTTAATGGTAACGAGTCTGTTGAGGCTATCGACCCACGGTGTACGACGGTATTTCTAATTGTGTAATTATCTTTTTCTCAGCTAATACAATAGATGTATAAGAGGGCGAAACGAAGAGCGAACGACCCCTTAATTGCAATCGACGCCAATTGACATTGACGTAGCCGGAAAATTTCCATTTCCACGTTTAAGCCCGTTCGTCTCGCTCGTCCCGCACGTTTGACCGATTACACCTCTTTACGACGCATACCGGATGACCCGAAAGTCTCCGCGGGGAGGCAGATCTCGGGCCACTCACGGCCTGCGCTTTATTAAACGGGGTCTCGAGCCGACGTCATCTGGCACAACCGTAAAGCAAACTTATCGCGCGTCCTCTCGGCACCTCGGCGACCCGTATTACGGGGTCGGACAGGAATTGGATTCGAAATTTGAGGCGACTGCGCAAACGCCCGGGCAAGTTTGCGCGAGGTGCGTTCGGCTTTGTCTTGGAAAACGCGAAAGGGGCGTCTTCGCACCTTCGCCGGAAATACGTATAAAGCGTGGCCCAATTAATCTTTCCGACTAATGCGACTGCACACTGTACGCGGTGACTCGGAAACACCGCTTTTCCTCGCCAGATTTCTTCGCCGAGCGTGTCTTCTTCCAACCGACGTTTTCTCTTGTAACTTTCATTTTTATCCCTGGACATTTAAGCATTTTCCGTGTGTTCCGAGCTTAGATATAAATCTTGTATCTATCGTTCTACGTAATATTAAGAAGACAGAACATATTTTTCGATCAAGATTCCATTTAAAATGAAAAAGATGAATTTCTCGATGGAACCACCGTCGATCTTTTGTCGAAGGAAATGGAAGGTGGAAATTCTTCTCGTTATATTTTCTGTAAGTCGAATGATGTTTGCACAGTATGCGACGCGTTTATTACCCAAGAGTAGGGGAGACACGGCGCAAATTTTCCATTCTTAAATTAGGTCGCGCATTCTGTGACTAACGCACGGCCGACGACGACGACGACGGCGACGACGTTTCTCATGAATTGCAAATTCCTGTGTTGTTTTTCTCATCTTTATGGCTTCACCATCTCTTCCTCCCTCACTCTACCGCCTACTTTAGTCAGTTTGCATTGCGTTCGTTTTGTTTTGTCAGGAAATAAAACGTACGTCTCTACTGACAATTTCTCGGATGGCATCGCGATGTAATCGAATGATTTGCATGCCATTACACATGCCACATATCGTTGCATTAAAAAGTTGCTTTGAATAAAAAGACTGCTTCTCTACCAACACATTATATTTCTTTGTAGCTTAAGACAACGATTGAATTAATTCTACGTATATCTCGCGAAAAGAATTCCAAGTCGTAATTATTTCTCTCGTGTTACTTCTTTGAAAGAAGTTAGCTATGATTCAAAATATATTTAAACAATAACATTCATAAGGCTCCGACATGAAATCACAATTCGAAGGAATAAAGGATATAAGAGCCAAGACAGGACGTTAGTGTTTAAATGATTTAAAACAAATAGAATTAAATAGGACCATTACGATATAAAGCAAACAAGCGAGAGCGCCTTCAGGTCCGAGCAAAATGTTGGTAGCCCAATAATTGAATCGTGTATTGCTGAAACACCCTAAGTCACTTTTTGTAAATTTTCAGGAGATGAAAAAACTATTCACATCTGTTTGCAGCAATAGTTTTAGAAAATGAGCGCAGTACTTAGTTGATAGTGACATATTTTATTTTACATGTAGGATAGCAAGTAACATAATATTGGTAAGTTTTTAAAAGTCGGTTTATTAGTGTATGTTTGTTGCTCTGGTAATTGGATTCTTTTTGTATTTTTTGATGACTTAGATTAGTAAATGTCTATTTATGAATTCAGGAGCCTTTAGAATACCAGATGTGTCTCATTTACAATAAGCAAACAACACTATGGAATATAGGAACTTGAGGCGTTTCAGCACTAAACGATGCAAGTTGACCTAAATTGCAATGCGTCAAAACTCAAAAGTGTGAAAAAGTGACTTAGGGGGTTTCAGCAATACACGATTCAATTGTAATCTAAAATGATTTTAATTTTTAAATTTATGAGGAAAAATGTACCTCAGCCTGGGTTCGAACCTGGACCTCGCTCTCTCTCACTAGGCGGGCAAAATATATTTGTGCAAATACCGTAACGTTAAAACTCATTAAATTAATGCGGATGTGTTTCTCTATCGCACCAATCTTAAACATCTCATTCCAGTTTCCTTGCCCCGTATCTTCGGGGACCCGTCTCAAGATCTAAATAAATTATGTCTATTTATCTCAGGTCGTCCTTAGAGAGTCTATGGCGGGAGGAAATTCATCCATCTACGGCGCCTATCCGTCTATCCGCCAATTTATCAACCTACACTTTTTGCAGCAGTCGTTAATTTAAGTCACGAGATCGAACGGCAAATCTAACGGCCGTTGATTTACGGAGAGCATGCTTTTTTGGGGCGGTAATGGATCCGACCGTAATTCGAAGCGACATGTACTCGGATTTAATCGGACAGATTTCTTCGAAAGTCTGAAAGGCACGAGCGACATTCGCGGTGGAGGCGAACGGCAGCTTCACGCGGATATTCTGATGGGACTCGCTCCCTCCTCGACGTCCGCCACGTTTCGCAGTTTCGTCCTAATGTTCGCGGGAGCGAGGTTCGGGTTTAATTGACCCACCTCAGAATTAAACCTCGCTGTGTTTTATGAATGCACTTCGCTCGTTCGTAGTAAAAGGCAGTTACTTCCAACTTCGAAGCGGCATAAATGTTTCCCTCTTACGGAAAAACAATATGTATGTAGTGCAAAGTTCGTTTAATCTAGAGACTTTTTAATCCGAGTCTGGCTGTACCAATGTTTATCAGCGTTCGATATTTTTCAACTTCGATATGAAAATATCGAATAAAAACACATGAATGAAAATCGAATAAATACTTTTTAACAACTTAAATAAAAACGAATATTTGTGAAAACCGATCAGTAAGCTTAATCATGCGGAAAAGCTTGCATATTTGTATTGTACATAAGAAAATCGTCCAATCATTATGTGGTTAGAGATGTGTTTATGTGGCTGGCTGTGTTTGACATCACTGTTTATTGTTGCGACCCATAAATGCGCCGCTCATCTACACCTATCTACACTACCCAGCGAGAAGTGACTCGTCGATCGATGTCGAAAAGATGTCGATTCGACAAATCGATATCGATCAACGAGTCATTTCTCCCTGGGCAAAAGAGAACCTCGCGGCATTGGTACTTCGAAAACGAATAGATCTATCGGCTGATTTGCCGGAACTCTCTATTTCATGTGCGTATCATATAATCTTCCCCATATTTCTCATTATAAAAAAGCAACGAAGGTTTTTTTTACAACTTTCGTAGAAAACGTCGATAATTATACAATTGATATTACTTCTTTGGAAAAACATTTTATTATGTCTTTTTTACATGCATGTGAGAAATTATTCTAGAAAAACTGCAACATTTGATAATATTCATTGTAAGATAAATTAAAAATAATAATATAAATTAAATTTGAAGAAATATTAATTTAAAATACTAATTCATTATGTTTTACAACAGTAGAAGCTTTAAAAAACTGATTAGAGGGTCTCTAGTTTACTCTTCAGGATTCGTGGCTGATGATTAATGTGGATGATTAATAGCGAATTCGGTTGCTTGCACTAGTGTGCACTGAATGCACACTAAGGCTTGTCCAGAATCAGTTCTTATATTTATAATAATCTTAAGTACACGTTCGAAAACTCATTTAGCCGTAAAGTGATTTGCACGGATCATTTTCTAACTAAGAAGCCTTCCAAGAGGTATTAAAAATAATCCTTAAATATAAGAATTGACTGTAAACGAGCCTAATGTGCACCGAGTGTGCATTAGTGCAAGGAACCGAATTCACTATAGTATTCCTCGCTTGTTTATCTGCAGTTTGTTATACTTTTTGTGCTCAAGATAAGACAAATATGTATGTTAGCGCTTTAGAGGCAGCAAGAACATGTAGCTAAGGGGAATAAATCCATGTATCCATATATCTACCATAGTTATTTCTAATCATTCCTATGTCTCCTTTTTTTCAGAGTTTCAGTGCTCATCGCCAAAGAATACAAGACTCGTTGCCAAACTCGTGCCACGTGACAATCGTCGTCGTCACCACTTCAGATCTGTTCCTCTTTAGAAGCTTTAGCATGCGTTAACGAAGACACACGACGCACAACTTCACTATTAAAAAGTACCAGATTTCTAATGAGACCTCCGTCATAAGAATTTCTTGAGGTCGGAAACAAAGTACAGATTTACTTCGCGAAGGGGCGAAGAGTCGGCGAGCGAGGGACGCCATGAAGAGACTTGCCTTCGGCGGAGCGAAGTGATCTTCGAGGAAACGAGGAAGCGAGGGCGGATTCGAAGCGTCGGGTCGGGCGAGTCGGGCCGGCGACGGGCCCGATCGGTGTGATGGTCTCGGGGTGGTGCCCGTGCGTGCCACTAGGGCGTCGGCAAACGTCGGCCCAACAGCAGCAGCAGCAGCAACAACCACCGTCATCGTCCAGGGCGCCGTTCACCGTCAGCGGCGCGACCGATCGCGCGGACATGGTGCAAATGTTTTACTACGAGAACCGCGGCAAGTGTTGCAAGAAGCTGCTCAGATACAACGGATACCCGAACAAGGTTAGACAATGCGCCATCGCGCAGTCTCATTTCGCAACACAGAACATTCGATCTGGGGTTCGATCGTGAATCTTTCCCTCCAGCGTGAATTCGTGAAAGATGAAAAATTTAATTGACGACTAGTGCAATTCTTAAATTAAATTTCTCACGAGTTCACGCTAGAAGGAAAGATTCATGTTCGAGCCCCTGTTTAGCTACGCTTCGTTACGTCCATTTTGAAGACTTGAGTTTGTTTAAAATAAACTTCGTGTAAATCTCAAATCCTTTAATTTTTTAACTCAAATTAAAAGTTTTCTAATCATTTTCACGTTACATATTTTTGTAACGATAAATGGTTTGACGGAACAGCCGGCGACGTTTTTATCGCACTTCAGTGCATTTAAAGAATTAAGATTCGACAGTTAACACGACGAAATGTTTTTTGCGAATTTCGACGTACAGTCGCGAGTCGTTGAAGAACGCGTCAAAGTGAATCTTAAAGTACTCCATCTCTTTTCGAGGAGAGCATTAATTATTTGACGAGCGTCTTGATGAGCTTTCTCTAGAAAGGCACTTAAACTATTCTCCCGAGTAGTTTCCTCGCGAAGACTTAATGTGCAGCACGTCCCAGTAACCCGTTCATATTGCTATATATGTATATGGGAGAATCCAGATAAGTAAAGTTAACAAGTTTTGTCTTTCTCCGTCAGTCTCGAGAGGCCGCGATTGATTTATATCTTCAAAAACCCGATAGAAATATCTCCTCCCAATTTTCACCTCATTCAACTGCAACAGCGAATTAAAAGTACTAATCGTTCCTTATATCGCGATCTCTCCAAAATTCTACTGGTGATAATTTTTTAAACTTGTTAAACATAAAAGTGTTTAAGCGGCAACGAAAAATGTTCGTCTACCATAAATACACGCGCGTATTTACATGTAAGAAGAGCGCACGACTTTGATGAAAATGTGATACTATTCATTAAATCTTGGTCTTTCCATAGAGTTAACGGTTATCGACTTTACCGTCCGCTTTTCTTAATTGGATGTGATTTTAATCACATTTGTAGAGAAGCAATCGTCCTGATAGCATTATATCGGAATCTCTTCGATAATTGACCTAACTAGGTATAAATCTACCCACATATCCATTTATCTATCTAATGAAACTAACTCTCCATCCATCTATCCATTTATCCGTATAATTAAACCGTCTATCTATCACTCGATTACATCGAATTCCCTGACTAAGAAGATGCTTTTAAAGCATTTGATTGTTACGGGGTTTTCCGATGAATGAAAAACCTAATGGCGATTGTTAACCATAACATTATATTGTCACTACTTAGGTACATCGTTAACACGATTAGATTTAAATAACGTTAAAATATGGTTATTATTTATTTGCAAACTATATTGAAATAATAATTTATAAAATAATTTAAAATACAAAAATCAACCTTTTAATTTACAAAAGAAATCATTACACATGTATTTAAATATATAAATAAATTGTAAATAAATTCGCCGAGCTGGGCGCATAAATTGCAATTTATCTCAAGTGTTTCCTTTAACGGTCGATTTAGAAGATTTAGATAAAACGCGGCGATAAAAGTTTCGCGAAACGAATGTGACCCAATGAACATTTCACGCTCTATGGTAAGTCCAGGGTCTCGGAGACCACAGAGTGCACCGCGAAAGCGAGATAGATAGAGGAATGGGAGAAAGAGAGGAAACCAGAGGAGAGAAAGAGAGGGGGGATGGCTATTCCAAGTTCACCGCAGAGATGGGTGAAGTTTTCGAAAGCCCCCGGGGAAATAAATCGATTCGATATCTGAATAGCCATTACGCGGACGTGGCTTCGCGGAATAAAGAAAGCATAGCAAAGTGGTCGATGAGAGGGAAAGGTGGGGTGCGAGTCTCCTCGTAGAAGAAGCGGAGGAAAGGCCTTATCCGAGAAACTAGGCTAATGCTGCGAGCTGGAAAACTCCGGCTCGTATCGGCCGGAATTTTCTTTCAATAACCGAGTTATTATTCATCGCGGTCATTTATTACTCGACTCGAAGTCGGCTCGCTCGTCATCTTTCCATTCCCACGTCTCCGTGTCATTTTTCCACGAATTCTTATGCGCGAAGAGTCCCCTCTCTTCGAACAGTGCGGATAAATCGGGTTTCTCGGAGGGAAAATAATGCCAGGCGGTCTAACAGACGGAATTTCGGCGCAGTTGTCTGTCGATCGTCGATCGATTGCGGGAAACGAGTCGCGGGATGCTTATCTCACGTCGGAAATTTCAATTGTCTGATAACGGAAGCGCAGCGCGGCGCCAGCTTCCCGCGCGGCGTCTCTCCTCGGCCGGATTTTCTATTTTCTCGCTCGCTCGTTTCCTCGAAATATGCTTTCTCCTCCCAGTATATCTTACGCATCAATCTTAGACATTACGCGGATGCTCGGATACGGAGAATCTAAGAGTTATCCCAGAGCTAGAAATATGAGCGCGGTAAGTTCCCATCCCGTGAAGATATTCTTCCGAAATTCCGAATGCCATTCTTGCAGTATCTTGAAGACGAAGTACAAGTGGATTCCTGAGATATCGCCTTGCAGTTACGTTTTACAGTGTTACACGTGTAATTGCTTTCGACGATAAGAGATACGGTAGTTTGTTAACTTAGGCATCCTTCAAAGATTTCAAAGATTTAATAGTTTCGACAACACGTGAGTCGTCTAGTTATTTATTGAATATCTGATTACGAGAATTGTCTCGTTGAAATAACAGAGATTAAACGTTACTTCGACCCACGCAAATATTATCTTGCGTCTCAACAATTGACTCATTAATTTCCTCATCGTTGTTCTCACTCGCCGCGCTATAATAGCGTAAAAAAACAATGTAATTCTAACAATAGTCGTTGGGCTAATAATAATTCTAGATCATAGGCACCCACGTCGTGGACTTTTCCTCGTCAATATGTCATTGACGATAATGCCGCAGTTATTTTTACGCGCCCTTCGATACTTCGACGCGAGCTAAATGGTAAATGTAGAAGGTACCTGTGATCACAGAGAAGAAAATGTTACGGTCGATTGATAATTTATGAGAATAGACAGAGTAAACTTTCTTAGAAAGTTGTTAAATAAGATCATATATTGTAGAAGCTGCCTGTGAAATAATTTTTCTTTTGAAATTGCAATTGGCAAATTTGACAGAAACAATATATATAGTTCTATGAAAATGTAAAGGCTATAGTGTACTTAAATATAAGTTTGACGTTTGACGTAAAATTTTTATCTTTGCGTGAGTTTAAGGGGACCCTAAAGCCGCTGGCGAACTCGATCAGTGTCGATAAGATAGGAGACGGAATTAAAAACGTCAATTATCGACATTTTTAATTCCAAGTTTTACTAGATGTTACCTCAGACCGGTGTTTTCTAGAGACCCTCTAATCAGAGTCTGGACATACGGTATCCAGCTTGTAATTGGTTCGCCATGTTTATGATTTTCCCCACTGAATTTTTAATAGACAATTTTAATCCACCTTTATAGTTTTACAAACGTAATTGATTTTGATTATTTTGATGCGTACCCCTTTGTCGAAGTGTTATTGCAAAATGGTGCTGCACATCCACCCATTTTTGCAATAAACAGCAAACTCACACTCATATCAAACTTCGTGCGATGTGCGGTTATATTTTAGGTTACGTCTCGATCTGATGGCAGCTTAAAGAGAGAGTGAGATATTCGTACTTTTTGATCAAAAGATTACTTCTAACAAAGAATGTCGATAAAACAGACGGCTTTAGGGTCCCCTTAAGATCGATTTTCGTGTAATTTTACACATTGTATATTTTAAGATTTTTTCACTAAATGTTGGAAGTAACAACACTCTTTCCGGGGCAGTAAAATGGCTGCGTTAAAACTCCTTAAATATTTGTTTTAAACGCTAAACAAAAGAATTCCAGTTTCAGCAGCGCGGCAATGTCAGCGTGGCTCGTAGCCGCAAAAACTTGAAGAACCTTTGGAAACGTCCGATCGAAGGGGGAAATGATTCGCGAAGAAAGAAAGTGGCACGCAGGGATGCGCCGCTGATTTTAATCCATCACGCTCGACGTGCTGGTGATTAACGAGCGTGTCGCACTGGTTCTCTGGGGTTTGCGACTTAACGCGCGCTGACACGTGTTTCGTTAGCGGCCATGGCTGCGGCATCGACTTCACCGAGAAGGTATCCTCGCGACGTCTATCGCTCTCTGATTAATCGCCTCAACTCACCCGTTCCGCGGATGATCAATGTACATTTCGCGGGCAATGGGCGAAAGTACAAGCGTACTCTCTCGCATTGTCTGACATTCGAACAACAGTAATTAACGACTGTTCGCGGACAGTCGCATTCTCTGTGATTGTCATTCCCCTCGAGAGAGCTCCTTAATGTTATCTCTCCTTCTGGTTTACCTAATATATTACGCAAATTCTATATAGAAGAGAAAAAGAGTGACTCAAGGAAAGCTCTTTGGCAACGATCTTCGAAGGAGAATTAGAGGATTTTCGAAAGAAAAGCTTTTAAATAATAAACTAAATCCTAACTTTATTAAATAATAAATTAGTACCGAAGCAGATCGATCAACCAATTCGAATCAACAAGTTAAATCAATGACAGTCTGATGAGTGAAACAGCGAGAATTTTCTCCCACGACTACGCCTTACAATTAGTGGAGGAGGAAGGTAATTCTTCATGTGTAACAGTATCCGCGGGAACAATTCTTCGCGATGTCTCCCAAGGAGAAAATCGATGATTGATCAATAACGTTGGTGTGTCTTTAACATTGGAGGAGTTCGATAATTTTAACTTCACGCTTATTTTAGATTTAGAAGTTTAAATTCGTGTTAAATTTACACGTACGTTACACATAGTAAATTTGCAAGAAACTCGGACTTGAATTTAATTGATATCTAGAATATCAATCGTACTCTTGCAAAATTCCCCTTTAAAAAAGTTGTTAAATTGTTACGGCACTAGATGTCAATTATT